CCTGCGGCGGCTGCCCGCCGGGCCGCAGCCCCTCTCGGCGCCTCGCCCTCCCGCCCTCCGGTTGCAACGCCCGGCGCGGCCCGGGCTGGGCCTGCCGGGGCCGAGGGAGGTGCCGCCGCCCTCCCGCCGCTGTCTCCTCCCCGCGGGGGCCGGCGGCTCGGCGGGCAGGGCCCGGCGCCGGGGGAGGCTGAAGAGAGGAGAGGGCCGGAGCAGCGGGGCAGGGACACCCGCGGCGTGGCGCAGGCACCGCGGCGGGGTGTTCAGCGAGGAAGGGACTAGGGAGGTTTCCAGAGGCTGCCCGGGGGCTTAGGGGCTTTTATTGGTTTCCCTGTTGTGCCCTTTCACGTCCCACTGCCTGTCCTGCCTTTCACACACCACACGCCCCCCCGGGCCCTGCCTCAGCCTCTCAGGTCTGGGCACCCTCGGAGCGTGCCAGGGCTTTGTGTGGCTTGAGGAGCTTTTTCGAATTAAGGGTAGAAAATGAGGGTATCTGCGATAGTAGGGTACGCTCAGCCCCGAGAGACTGGGGGTGCAGCGGGCCGGGGCGGGAGGAGTGGCTGGGGGTGTCAGATCTAGATTCCCGGTGCCAGAGCCGGTCAGATAGCGGTGGGATGTAATCCCACCATCCCGGCCGGAGGGGTTGCTGCCCTCGGGTGGGAGGCTACGAAGGCAGCTTTAGGTGGATTGTGGCTGTTGAGGCGGTCACGCCGTGTGGTGTAGTGGAATGGGAGCTGTGAAACACTTCATCTGGCATAACCACCTTCACCTCCCGCTCCATCTCTGGTTACTTGTTCCCACACGTTTCCACCTTGTCCTGCTGTCTCCACGGGTGTTTGGGTGGCCACGTGGCAAACCTATTTGGGGAGATGCTCCACGCGAGGAATAATAGCTTGAAAAATTCAGCTGGGTTTTCAGCAAGATCGGTGCATCCTACAGTGTCCCAGCATTTGGATGGGACTGTTCATCTCAGAAATTACGCTCGCTGAGGTGTGTTGCACGATGATTTGGCCTGGCTGCTTTCCAGAGCCATCACGATGGTGTTACAGGCAAGCGTGAAGCTTCAGTGAATTCCCAGCTTTTGCTACATAGATGGAATTTTTCATGCTGTAAATTACAGTCAGAAATCAGTAAAATATTCATGCTTCTCATGACTGCTTTAATCATTCTTTTTAATTGGTGCCACCCATGAGAGTATTGCAAAACTGAACGATAATGGTTTCGTGATTATTTTTTAAAGGCAACAAAATAAATACCATGTTTAATTTGGAGCGCGCTGGTCTTAGAACGCAAAGAGAGGTTGATACAGAATCGTATGCACACACATCTGGTTCTGAGAAAAACAATATGTTGACAATCGACATGTACAGACATTTTGAGCTAAGCGGGGGCTTTCTAGTTCTATCAAGGTTTTATAAAGTATGGGGGTTTTAACCTATCAGACTGTCAGAGCTCTGTGTCTTTGAGGTGCTGATTTCAATGAGTTCTGCAGATACAAGGATCTGTGTAGACAGAGGAAGTAAAAGAGAGATTTGCATATTAATGCAAATTTGGACCATGGGCTCTAAAAGCCCAACACAAGATACCTGCAAGAGGATGGTGAGGGCAAGTTTATTTTGCTTGAACTGTTAAAGCGTTTATATCTCATATTATTAAAGTGTGTAGTGTATTGATATTCCTAGCAGACTATATATATATAAAATTAAATTTGAATTTGTTGATTTTGTATAATTTTTTTAAAATGAGCATAGGGAAAAACTAACTGGTGGAATTATAGTGTGACATAATCCAGTGATAATGGCAGTATAAAGTTTAATGGCTCCACTGAGTTTAGAAGTATATTGGAGATTTTAAATTTCTGGCTGTTTTCGAAACATGCCATAGCTGCGGTTTTGGAGATAGTCTTGTACATCTTAGTGAATTATTTTCCTGCTATGCATAATTATTTATTCTGCTAGAAATTCACATATAATCTCCTTCTATATAAAGTAACTGGTTTTAATGTTTCCCAAGCAGCACAAGTAATTTATTTAACCTCAAAGGACATGCATATATAAGCATCCGAGTTGTTGTGCACAGAGGAACAGTAGTTACTATAACTGCTGCTTAAATGAGTTTGTCTTCATGCCAGCATCAGCTCAAATTAGCAGGAAAATACTCACATTGCAAACCAGCACTGAAATATTTGGAGGGTTACCATACACACTAGCCTAGCATTTGCCAGCTCCAGCATTAGCAGCACTGGTTCTGTACCCCACACTGCTGGCTTGTGTTTAAAGAGCAGCTTTGTTTATGGTAGGAACTTTCACATGTGGCCAAGCAGGAACAATGTTCCACTTCTAGTTGGTATTACATTAAGATGTAAGGAAAACTGTGCTGTTAACTTGGGGATATCAGCCATTCTTACAGTTTATAGAAAACAGGATGAAAAATAACATCCAAAGATGTTGGGAAAGAGTTTAAATTAAAATGGAAGTCTCACTGTGTTGGCAGAACATGTACAAGGCCCCTCTTGAGGGTCAGTATAAGGAGACTGCGCTAGATTTCAGTTTGGATGGTAATAATTCCCATTTGTGAAGAAATTTGATGGAGGACTTTTTCAGGATGTAGTGATGACTGTGAGTGGGAGGCAAATGCATACAAGCAGACTTAGAGGAATTGGGAGTAGAAGTATCCCACCTGCTGTCTTCGGATCTTCAGGGAGTTTGATTCTGAATGGTGGAAAAGTGATAGAGATGTTTGGGTTCAAGATTTTGAATCTTTAATATTGTTTTTTCCCTAGTTCTTCCTAAGAAAATTTGTGTTTATATAGCCTTTATTGCTCTGGGAGCTCCCTTGCTGTGTGCAGTGTTTTCATACAAATGTCAGAATATCTGAGATGTCTTAGGACTCCATTTTTAGTAGCTTTCAGAGGTAAAATGAACCTGTTCAGTTGCTCATTGGTTCCACAACTGAATCTCCCTGACCACAGCTTGGCGCAACACTGTGCTGAAAGAGGCTGTTTTCTCTCCACTTGGGGAAGAGAGGGAGGAGGGAATTCCTGTCTCCAAGCACCAGCTATGCTGTAACTGGGGCAACAAAGCTGAGGACTGAAAGGCAGAGTGTCGGAGAAGTTCACCAAGCTGGAACAGGCAGAGGGACTGGTAACAAGGGCGCCTGCAGGTAGTACCTGCTCTTACCCTGCTTGCTTATGCACTTGGTGGATGTGTAAGGCGTGCTGGGCATCTCCGTCTTTCTCTTTTCCCATTCCTTTTGACGTGTGCTTATTTCTCATGGCAATTAATGTGTGGCTCTGTCTGCTGTAAACCGCAATCAGGGGCCCAGAGTCCCTGGGACATTAGAAGAGAACAGGCAGTGGCACGGAAACTAGTTTTGGAGAAAGTAGAAAGAGCAGGGTGGAAAAAATGTTGCTTGAAAGGCATCTGGAGAGAGTTAGAAAGATTAAGGTAAAAAGTGAGCTTGAAGAGGAATGGAAAAAAAGAGAGCGTGTGGATTGGACAGGCAGAAAGCTTAGTGTTGTAAACAAGGAAGGGGAGAGCTGGGATTTTTCTTGTTCCTGGCAGTTGGGATAGGAAGCTGACTGTTTTGAGACGTTGTGTGGTACCTGAAATGAGTGTCTAATTCTTTTCCAGTGCTGTAATGACAAGGATGCTTATATTGAGGGGGAGGACCAAAAACTAAGCAAACAAAAAAACAAAGCAAAATGAAGCCAACACAGAGCCCGAGGCTCCTGAGGGTAAGTTCTTTCTGCAGTGACTGTGAAAAATGGATACCTTTTTCAAAACTTCAGATGAAATTGGCTATTACTGGTGGCTAGTGGTTTGACATTGGAAGAACTCTTATTTGAAGGCACTCGTTATTGTTGAATATTCTTTGGACCTAAGCCTTTATAATACACTTCTTATTAATTCCTTTGCTCAAGTATTTAACTTTTGGAAGGGTTAGGTGGCATATAAATGAAGAGTTGCTTTAGAATGAACAATGGCTTTCTTAATAACTCTTGTACCTCTAAGAAGGAACAAATCTCCTAATAAACTGCATGGTTTATTCATTTCTAAAGTACCCTAAGGCCCAATCCTTTAGTCATTAATCAAGAGCAATTCATGCTGTCTATAGTGAAATATGCCTGGCAGTGATAATATCTTGATTTCTGTGTGTGTGCAGGCACGCTGGGGAATACCAAGGAGGTAAATCAGATCAGTCCTTTCTCAAATTTTATTCCTAAATGGTCTCTACTTTGCTATTGAGGAGGGCACAACTTTGTCTGCTGGAAAACTAAGTTTGAGCAGCCTAGTTTTCCAGTCATATATCAGAAAGCAGTAACCACATGCTAAAGACGTATTAAAAATTATGTAAAAAATGACAGTATGTTATTCAAACATAATTTTATTGGGTAATAACATCCTCTTTTATGGGGATTTAATTCACTGGTGTTCAGATACCACATACTTCCACCTCCTTTTACTGATAGTGTCACTATATATTTGGGAATTTGTTCCTCATGAATCTCCTAAACAAATTTGATTTAGGAAACTCAGAGCAGACTAGGGGTGAGGTTTTGGCCCATGCTAAGGAAAGTTGCCATTCAAAAAAACCTTAAACCACTATGAGGCTAAATAATTCTGAGAAAATATTCTTGGAGAACTTTGTATGGAGTCCTGCAAGGCCACCTCAAAGTATGGTCACCTTGAGGAGATGGAACATAGTCCTAAGATTTATTAGGTATTCTCTTATTTGTATTGGAACACTTTGCAGAGTCACTGTGAGCAATCTGTTCTTCCAGTGGCATCCTGGCAATATAGCTTCTTCTGGAACTGGGTCATTATGGACATGAAAAAAATCTAGTGTTTTTTTTCTCCCCAGTAATGCAGCTCACGCAACTTGGGCTGTTTCACTGTCGATTTGGCAGTCTGGTAGGCTTTAATATTTTAATATCCAATGTTTATACCATTACAAACTCCACACAAAGTGGAGGTTTTAGTATAACTAAAAATATTTTAAACAATTGGAATTGTTTTCAGTGATATAAAAATGTTCGGGGTTTTTTTTGCTTGGTTGTTTTTTTTTAATCTGACATTTATTGGTGATTGGAAGTTTTATCAAATGACTACAAAGAACCATGCAATCTGAAAACCTGTTTTGCTGAGGAACCTGCTTCACAGAATGTCCATTTCCTTGAAATTAGAAAAGTTGCAATACATCATTTCCAATGAAAACTGAAAGTCTCTGTTCTTTCTGAATGTATCTTTTTTGAAACAGTGTATTTCATAAATGTCTTTGAAGTTGTTTTTCATTTCTCTCTAGTCACAAAATGATTCTGTATATAACATGAGTCATGCAAAACGGTTACCGGAATTACCGCCCCTACCTGCTTCTGCTTCAGCTGCACCTTCAGAATTGTATCAGGTATGTTGCTCTCTCCCCTTGTGTTAGTTTACACATTAAATTACATGTGCTAGCATGATTTTAGGCATCATATATTACCAGGCAGGTGGTAATATAGGTAGATGAAGTAAAAATAGGAAAAACTAAATTACTAAGTTAAAGCACTAAACAGATTGTCAGGTACTTCATTAGAGCTGCTTTTATTTAGAAAAGTGTTGTTACAACTTCTATTATGATTTGGATATTAAACCTTGGCAGTTTAAATTTGTTCTTTAAATTTATAGTTTATTATTTGCTGTTAAATTTTGGATTAAATATTTTGAGTTTAAGTTTCTGGGGAAGGAAGCAAATAGTAAAAATATTTTTCTTCCAAACAAATTGTGATTTCCCCTCCCCACCCCCAATACTTTATCACAGAGCGCAAAAAACCCTGAGTTAGACTGCTGTTCCAAAACCA